GATGAAACAAACCTTTCATGTAATAGTGCTGCAAGGCAAGAGGAGCTTTATTCAATAATCTTGGTATTCTGCAATTCTCACCCCAGATCTGATCGGGCAAAAAATGTACCCATCCCCCCCCACACACATACACACACACACGTGTTAAAAAATAATTCTGTGCATTTGATTTTTCAGATTTACAGGAGTACTTCAGTGAGTGAGTCTGAGTATCTCACAGTTCATGACAAAACTATTGATTTTCACATCTGAATGTTACTGGGCTGGATGGAGCATAAAAAAGAAACATTTTTCATTCATAAAGCACAAATATAGCAGCAATGTATAAAAGCAGCATTGGCATACAAAGCTCAAGTTGTCTGGGAGATTTTTTTCTTAATTGTGTTCATTTAACTTACACATAGTTGTTTAACTGCTTTCCTAATAAATTTAGATGGGGCTTTGATGCACCCATACAGCACTAGCAGGAACAGATGAAGGAAAACAAGATCATGGCAAAACGGGGGGATAATTCATACAAGTTTCTGTATGCATCAAAAATTCCCAATTGTCTAAAGAAGAGATCAAATCACAGTCCTAAGTATGACTGGAAAATGACAGTTTTTTCCCAACAGGCACCCTGATAAATTATGTAACTTCTTATATATTTTCAAAGCAACATACAGGAGTTTAGGCCAGGTAGTTCCCATAGTCAAAGGGACCTGTGCAACTATAAGGCATTACATCTCACCCAAGGTGCAGTGAGACTAAAAAGAATGCACCACTGATTTTATGCCTTTGAGACTTGTACCATCCTGCACGCTTTTCACCTTGTCAGATGCATTTCGCTATGAACTGTTCCCAAGTAAATAAACTGCATCCATAAAATTAAAGGTGGATATGAAATTGTTCTAAAAAAAAAATAAAAAAATCTTTGGTTGAGAAGTGTAAGGTTTTGGTCTCATATCTGTATATATATTAAAAAAATAAAAATCTATCACTTCACTTCAACTAAAGGGTTTTTTTGGTTGGGTTTTTTTGAGGGGAGGGGAGGGGATTGCAGGGACAGCAGGGGCTCAAGAAAATTACTGTAAATGCTTTCAAAGTTTCTAAGCCCATTACAGGACACAGGGGTTATACCAATTTAAATAGATCGATTTAACACACAACACAAACAACTGTAGTGAAACCAGTGCGAGTTATGCGTACAAATAGAGCACCCCTTTGTATTTCTTTCAAATGACAATTTGAAATAAAAGCATGGTGCTAGCCCCCTAAAACATCTTATACCAGTTCTTTCAGTTACTTTCAGGTAAGATATGTTCCTAAGTGTGTTTCAAAATAAATAGTAAATAGCTACTGGACTTCCACCCATCTGCATGCCACCACCGTCATGTGTTTGGAATCTCCAAGGAAAAAAACACAGAAAGCTGGTAATAAGGTTAAATTAAAATGCCATCCATCCTTCCATTTAACCAAACTGGGAAGCGCTGCCTCTTTGCTCTAATAAATATAATATGAAGATGAGCCAATAAAAATTGTATCTTTTCAGATTAAAAATTGTTTTCTTCATTGCAAGTTTTGAGCTCTGTCTAGGTATTATTTAATTTAATCTAATTTGAACAATTTCCAAACATCAGCTTGATTAATTTCAACAGCATGGTGTTATGGAAAGATTTACTGTACTGGGGTTCTCTAGCAGGGAATTAATAAAGGAGCCAAGTTCTCAGTTCTGAGTAACATAAGGTTTTAAGACTTCCAGATTTCTAGTGGGAATACTTCATAGCACAAGCATGTTTTCTTCTGGGAGTTAAATCCACCGAAATTATTAAAAATTGAGATCAAATGGTGGTGTAAGACCCAAAGGAAATCATGCTATAGTGCAAAGATTTTTATCAAATGAAAAAAGTGAAGAAAAAAAAGTTTCTACAGCACACACACACACAGGTAATCTCCCTCACAGACAGACAAAGCTAACATCTATGATTAGATGTTCAAAAAGCAAGGCATTTCTTGAAACGTAATAGACTACAGAAAACCCAACATCACAGGCTTTGCCTAGTAGAGGGTCTAAACAAAGGCCATTCTGTAGAACAAGTCTTTCCCAAACACACAGGACAAAAGAACACAATTCTGTTGACTTCAGTGTAACCATGACTGAGTTTGAGTCAGTGTGTGACTATATTCCCACTCCCCCGCCCCAAGTCTAGTGGACGGACAGTACAGTATCAAGTCTGCAGAGAGGCCTATGATTTAAAATGGAAAAGTGAGCATTACGAAGCTTATGTAATATCCCACTTCTAACAGGAGACAACCTGAATTACAGAGGAGACTAAATCCTGCATGCCTTCTACATGCAAAATGTTCAATATTTTCACACGCATTTTGGTGCAGAAGTGCTTGTAACAAAAGATATCATCTTAACTGATTCATAACTGAAAAAGACCTCAGGGGAATCTACAAGATAAAGACTGTACATATAACAAAAGTATCGTTTCCTCTGTTACCATCCTCAACTGAAATTATCAAAACTGAAAGAGATTTTACTTGAATTCACTTTTCATCACGCATGTTTTTTCCCCTTTGAGGGAACAACTTAATTAAGTGTGAACAGGGAAGAAAAAAAATCACAGGATTCTTTTGTTTGTCACTTTCACTTTCTTCATCTCACGCATTAGGATAAAACTGAATTTACTTATATAATTATTATTCAGCTCTCCTATCTTTTCTTTTAAACTAATAACAACTTAGGAACTATAAATAAGTAATCACACAAGAAAAGGGAGTGGATCCTCACAAGGTTCCACTGCCTAACACAATAGATTACAGATCTAGAAACATCTCACATTTAATATTTGGGCAGGCGGGCTTTTTCGTGCTCCCTGAACTTCAGCTTCAGAACAAATGCATCATTTCCACAATAATATTGTGCAACATCAACAAGCAAGATGAAGCTCAACACAAAACTCACAGTGGCATAAGGAGACTGTATAACAATTAACAAAGATAGAAATCTCACACAATTATTAACAATCAGGAGAGCTTTGTATTCAGGTGCAACTAGCTGAACAAATTTATAATTATGAGAACACCTACTATGTTCCAAATAGCTTTTTAAAGTGGAGAGTAAGCCTTGAGTATTTGAAGAGACAGTTTACTATTCTTAACACCACTTTTATTAAAATCATTGCATAACTAGCTGGGGGTCATATGAGATCATATGCAGAAAATCTAGAGTTCAGTTTAAGATTTAAAAATCCAGATAACTAATAGCAAATTGAATAGATGCAAAGATACCATTTCTAAAATGCAACACACACATTGCTTTTCATGCTTAAAAGTGCTCAGTCTCAAAACACTTTCTAGGTTAAGGCCATATCGGTATGGCAAAACAGAAGAGCAGACTAGACAGAGCTCAAACACTTCAGCAGGTATTAGTTGTCTTCAAAGCCTCACTTTCAAGCTATCCATACATCTTAAAAGAGAATTAAATTTGACAGAATATAAAGCTGTTGGCAGTTAACTTGTTTACAACAAATGCTTGGTTTGGGTAAATTTACGGTGTTTCAGACTTTTAAATATCAAACAAACCTACACCAGTCCCATTATGAGGCAGAGAATTCTTTCACTGTAAATCTTTTTACTGAGGGCCTCAGGAATTAATTCACAGCTTGTTTTCCACTAACTGCTTGGAACTACATGGAAAGAGCTAAACATCCATTGACACGTTAGACTTCAATGCATTAAAATTAAAGACTGTATCAAGACCATCGTGTCACAATCCTAGCTAAATAAAAATTATCTCTGTATAGGCAATAAATAAATAAACAATATGTTTGCCTATAATTCTCCACCTTTTTGGATTACTGGCAACATTTTTCATGATTTAAACACCTAATCTTTAGGTGTTTGCTTTATAAAACAAAAAAATTGCTTCAGATTGAAATTTGACAGAAAAAGACCTTATCCTGCACATAATTTTGAATCAAAATTAGCAAAAAAAAATATATATAAACATTTAGTAATTTTAAACAGTAGCAGCCTCACTTTTTTGGAGGTTTTGAGGGGAAAACTAGGCATGGTACCTTTCACCATCTGCTAAATTATTTTTTCTGGCTCTAAATATTCAATAAATCCCTGGCCACAAAATGCTTCATTATATATTGCATTTTAGTCAATGGTAAATGCAAACCAACAGGACATTATTTGTCTTACAACAGCTTCCAATCCTTTCTGTAGCTTCAAGTCCCTTACCATCACCACTCTCCCTACTCTAGAAATTTTAGCCTTTGGCTTGACAAGTGAATTTCCCCCACCTCAGAGATTTTAGACAAAGATTCTTAAGTGAAACACAGCTTATTGTTCCCCATTAACAACAGAATAACACTTATGATTTGATAATAAATGAGCTTTACATAAGATTTTGCAAAATATTATTTAGAAGATATGGTTAGATTAACTGGAAACAAAAACAAAGATGTACAAAAGGCAGTATCTTTAACATTCCCATCCACCTCTGCCAGGTAACTAGAGCTCATGTGAGCGCAGACAACATTCCCTATGCCTAATAAAAATATCAGCTGCTCCCAAAAAATTAGGCACAACTAACTTAGGTAGGCATGAGAATTCAGCCTGAACTCACAGGTTGTCATCTTGCCTAGATTTAAACAGGCTTCTCTCTTCTGTATAGTTTTTAACATGGAATTCTGTACATTTTCTACGCTATCAACCATTTAGCTCATGAGAAGCTGCCATGGCCTTGTTACAGAGGGAAGGAGGGTAAGTAGGCTGAGTTAGTTAGTATAGCAGTCTATCCCAAAATATTATAATTAGATTCCCAGCTCTCCACTAAATTGCGTACATGTTGGGCAAGCCATTTAAATAAATATTTACTCATTTTCCCCATCTGACTAGTGAGGGTGACAATGCATACCTCAAAGTGGTATAAATTAAGTTCCAAGGAAGACTTGGATGGAAAACTGTGTGTATGCACAAGCTATCACCACTCTTTTTTTTTTTAGCCTAAAGCCTTCTCATCCCACAAAAAAGCACATACAGAAGATACTGATGTCAATGGATGTCCCGTGCACAAATCAAAGGTAATATGTGGCCTCACAAAATGCATATTAAAAAGCACATCCAAATCCATTATAGCTACATTCCTAAAACAATAATAAAACAGCTAACTTATTTCGTTGTTCTTTTTTAAAAAATATCCTACAGCACAATTCAAGTACGATCTAATGGAAAATATACAAATTTCACTTAAAATAGCAAAGGACCCTTTTTTGGGATTAAATTACTGTTTTTTATTTTTTAAAGTATCTTAAGCTATTACATTTCTATAAATTTAATATTTAGGTCTTCTAACTTAACAATGGGGAAGATTGGGGGGGGTGTTTAATTATGTAACAAAAATTGCCTTTGGGGCTTAGATTTTCTATGCCAAGTTGCACTCGGAATAAATTTTAATGACTGTGTTTTAAAGTCCTGAAAACTGGAACCACTAATAGGTCCTTAACTTTGGTGGTGCTAGCAGATGCCACCAAATTATGTAATTTTTGAAGTTAAACCCTTCTTCTAGTAGAAGCATTTTAATGAGGCTTCTATTAACTAGTCTCATGGTAATGGAATAACTACCCTGGAATGTAACAGCAATGCTTTCTTATTTGGTTTTAGCTCTTCTCCAAAAATAAAAATCTAAACCCCATGCTGAGACATGTTCTCGAATCTGCATTAAAACACATTGGTAAATTCTCATTTCTCTGAGATTCATACCTATGGCAAAACAAGGCAAGAGGGGAAATGGAAAGAAGTATCACCCCTTCCTCATGCTACTGAAGAAGAAGATGAAAAACTGAAGAAACTGCTAGAGTTAAGTGGGCACATCCAAATCCAGCTCCAAGATGTAGCCGCAAGAAAAGGAAAGACTGATCTGTTATCCTTGTGTTCACAGCACTTTCTACAATGTCACTTAGGTTATGCCTGCCCCAGAAAACTACTCATTTCTGAACTTGAGTGTCAATAATGGATGCAGCTGAACTGCTAGATATAGAATTTAGCAGACAGCATAGACAAGGGCAACCATGTTCAATACTGCATCAAAATAAACATGACTAAACTCAGGCCAAACACAATCACTAAAGCAGCCCTGAACACAGTTTGACATTGCCTATTCTTTTAGCAGTGGTTGAACTGCTTAGAATAGCTGAAATCCTTTCATAGCATAGAGACACGTGGGGACTTTCAAGCAACAGTACAGGGTGAACAGGAATGGAAGAGAAAAATCAACAACCTAAACCAGAAAGGTATTTACTGATTTATTTCCCTAGCAGGGCATACTGACCTACTCCATTTGTCCTCCCTTTCAGCAAACCATCTGACAGAAAGTCTCCATAGGACTACATGGTCCCAAGCATTTGAAAGAGTATGAATCAACCTGACAGTTAAGTGCATCTACACGTGCGCTTTAATGCACAGTAGCTTATTTTGCTGAGCATTAAAGCGTCATGTAAAAAACTGTGCTATTACACAAATGCACAGTAAAATGGGCTACTGAGCATTAAGCATCACTTAAAAACCATGTTTCAGGAATACAGGTTATAGCCATATTGGTCTACAGGCAAAAGGAATCAGAATTTGTGGCAAATATCTACAGATAGAGATATAAAGACATACAGCAAAATAAAAAAAAAAAAAACACGACAGATTTTTAAAAAAAAATTTTGCAAGTATCTAGTTGGTCTAAAAAAAAAAAAAAGATATCAACCTCTGCCACAAGTTATGATTCCTTTTGCATGCAGACCAATATACGGCTACAACCTGTGTTCCTGAAACATGGAAGATACTGAATTTTAGCCTTCTTTAATGAAAAGTTCATAATTTTACAGGAAGGAACGAAATTCACCACCTTGGAGCAACCTGAAAGCTGACACCCTGGTTCCTGCCTATTGTTCCAGTTCAATCTGCATGTTCACAGAGCTCAATGTACGTCAACACAAGAGAATCTCCTGTCCAGGAGAGCATCCATCACACCATCCTCTTGGGAAATATGAATATCATAACCAAAAGAAAACATAATTCAATATCCTGCTTAACACCAGACAACATTTAGGGAAATAAACTGTTCTAACTTTTATCTGAGCCTAATTGCACAAAATGAACTATTCCATCCAGGAGATCTTACGACACTTTCAGCTCCCCCGTAAAATACGAATTTTCATTTCCACCTTTGAGAAAGTTTACAATCTTTGCATTCTCCTATGCCTGAAGAAGAGTGAGTATGCTCAAAAGCTTGCAAATAAAGAAACACTTTGGCAAATATCTAGTTGGTCTAATAAAAGATATTAATGTCTGCCATGAGTTCTGATTCCTTAAAAACCATGTGCATTCACTAGTGCACATTAAGGCAGCCAAATGCACATTTGCTTAATACCTCACCTTAGAAGTACTAAATTTAATGTGCATTAGGAAAACTTCCTTTTCCAGCTTGTCCCTCATACACAGTGCAGAGAGCTTTTGATTTGTGTTCATATGACTGCATTTTTCTGGAGGGCAGCAGAAAAGAAGAAAGTGCAGCCATCTGAAGACAAGGAAGCCACAGGCACCATGGCCCAAATGAACATGTCACCCTTCTTAGTAATGCTCACTTCCAGGAGCTAGCACTTCACATTTACCGTGCAGTTTTTAACACCCATCACCTCTTACCAAACAGGCTACAAAGGAGAGGATCTACATTTAATGGGTACTACAGCTTCTCAAAGTAAATATATACTCTTCCAGAAGGGAAAAGAAATTGCTGAGGGAGCCTTACAATATGCCGGTTCATTTGTAAAAGTAATTCCTCCATGCCTTCTGGTCTCTCCTGTATGGATTACTGCCACATGGGCTACCCTCTACCTCAAGAATCACACGCCTGAACTAGTGCAGAACACATCCACTCTCTTAGAGCTGTTAACTGTAAAGACAGATGACTACAACCCTTCTGCAAAGTCTGCACTGGCTCCCAATTTACTCAAGCAGAAGGCAGGATAGTTATGCACCTTACATAAATAGCATGAGCTTTTGTGAACTCAACCTCATTTCAGATTAACACAGATAACTACCTCTCCTAGTGTACTTCAAAACGCAACTCCATGTTTTTATTTAAAAAGATGCATGGTATAGAACCAGTGCCAACGCTCCCAAAGAGATGCTCTCTCAACATTCCTCAGTAGTAGGAGTGTTTTTTTCTGCTACAGGTACTTCAGTTTACATACAGAAAATAAGAGAGCAAGGTTCTCACAATCACAGGGCCCTTAATTCTGGAACTGGCTCCTTCTTCTGATGCAACAAAGCCCAAGGTTGTCAATTTCCATGGTCCAACTCAAAGCCCTCCTGTTCACTAAAGCTTTAGTCAAAAGCTCATGATGGTTAGATGATTTAACATAGTATAATGCTAGTACAGGTTTATCCAATGATGGTTTTAAGTGGTTTTGTTGTTTCTAAGGTAAGTAAACCCAACAGCTTTGTGAGGGATGAGTTTCTGTAACATATGAAAAGGTTCGTTCAGAGATATAGAAGCTCTGTTTTGTTTTCAAAGGAATAGAATACTCTTCCTAAATACACACCCCTCACTCAGCCATCATATCTGTCAACCACATAAACTAATGGGATATTCTGTCTCATATAATGCTAATTAACAAAAGGAAAAATCAAACAGGTGACAGAAAAAAATGTGTCCGCTATTAAACGAAACATGTCTACAGAGATAACGCCTCTCTAGAGATGAAACATCTTGGAAGTATCCCGTTACTAAGCTTGGGTCCATATCTGCCCTTGAGAAAGTCAAATATCTTCTATCATACAGACTTCAGCTAACATACAAGATGAAGTAAGCTTTAAAAACAAAAACCAAAAGCAAAAAACCCAACAGAAAAGCACTTCTGTTACTCTGCATTTTCTCTAAGACTAAAAATTGGTAGAGTGTATGACAGGTCCACCTCATTTTTCTTAATGATGTTTTTATTATTCTTCCACTCAATTAAAACAGAAATGGATATTGCATCTTCTGACTGTATAATTGTTATTGTAATCTGTTTTCGATCACTGCTTGGGAAATGGGTCCAAAACAACATAAACTATCCACAGCCTCAGAATACAAGTCATTTTCTTTTACTACAATATTTAGAGAGACATCTATCATGCTGCTATGCTAGTATGTTTGTATTATGGCAAAAAGTTATTTGTAAGTTACGAAGAGACATTATAAAAAAGCACTTTTTACTCCAAAGTAATCTAAAACTCATAATTTATAACTCTGTTGCTTAATAACCATTCAAAACATCAAGCTTAAAATTATGGACATCTATTTTAATATATAAATAACAAAAATGCATGTAAACTGAAGTATGCACAAAATATGAATTTATATGACTTTGGATAAATAGTCTGGTTGCTGTTTCAAAAGTGAAATGCTTCGTTTCCAAAGCATGTCCATCACCAATATTTATGCCAGAAATACTCTCCATAAATTTACATTATTAGAATCCATGGCATTTTATTTAAGTTTTTCCACTTATTTGAACTTTTAGTCCAAAGGAAAACAAAATGACCAACTTGTAAGACCATATAGCTCTAACTGAAATGAACAAAATGTCGGTGATACTCAGTTATATGAGGTAATATATTTGATCTTAAGATGCAAGTATAAGTAAATCGTCTTGAAAAAGAAGGTAACCTTCCACCTAAAGCCCAATAAAAAGCAGGTTTTAATATGAAGAAATCCTACTGATAGTCCTAAACAGATTCAGCACTGTTCAAAAGGTTTACAGTCAACAGAAAGTCTCTTCATATCTCTATGTATCTTTGAAAAAACAAAAGAGCACTTTTAAGGGACAGACAATAGTATTACATTTTGTAACTAACTGGTACATGGCTGACATACGAAATACATTTCATAAAAACTGTACGCTGATAGTCCTCTCCGTTATGCTCCCTTCTTTCTTTTCTAGTTTGGTTGGCATTTCTGCAGGTATATTATTCTATTATTCTCACTATGTATTATTTTGTGTACAACACTCCACCCATAGAATAGAAAAAGGTGGTGGTTTAACACCAGTTAAGGCAAGATGACTAAAAAGGTACTACCTGTTATCAACATAAATCCCACAGCTGCTTTTCTCCCTTTTCAATTACTCCGTCCCCATGGTAATTGCATACAATCTATTCAAGCTATGATAGTACCATTTCTCTTAGCATTATTGCACGTGTAACAGCTACTAATAATTTAGAAATGTAACCTTATGTCAAATAAACCTTTAGGGCAGACACGCTATCCTTCCACTTCCATTCAAATTAAAATAATAATCTCTATTGTTCAAGCTCTATTCATTTTTTAAAACTGATGCAACTTAGTCCTCCATCAAATTTCACATTTGTTCAACATATCAGAAGGAAGTTATTATTAACAAAAGTCTTTGCCACATTTTAGTCTGTATAATTGTGCCGATGTCCAATAGAACAATGAAAACTTTCTATATTAATTGAATAATTTAGTTTTAGAATAGGTTTAATTAGTTTCGTCTTTAAGAGAGATCATCTGAACTTTTACTGATGATTTAAATGAGTTAGTCACTTATAAACCATATTCTATATAAAATATAGTGCTCAAATCTGAAGGAAATGGGAGTCTAAATATTTAACTAATTCCTCCTGTTACTAATATACAGTTACTAAACATGAAAAGTAAAGTACCCACAAAATGTCTGCTTCAAATATTTGATATTTACTAGAGGTTGCATTGGTCCTAACAAACATTTTAAAAATAAATCAATGTTGTAAGAATTCATTTCAAAACTGCAATAGTGTCAACAGGATTGCCATTTAATAGCAGAGAACTTTTTTTAAAATGCACTAAAACACTAAGCATGTTGTGGGTGCCTGGAAAAACCAAAAACAAGCAGGCTAACATTAGCCATTTTATAATTGAGAAGGAAATGTAGTTTCTGCATTTTGTACCACTAATCAATTTAAACGCATTTTTATGGAACACAACAAAAGATTTTTTAGCCGATTAGCATACAGACACAAACACCAAGCCTAAATACAGAGGGCAATTTTTTTTACCATGGCTAGAGGCTGTAAAATATATTTTTTCCGAGGCCAACAAATCCTCAACTGGCTTTTGTCAGTTGCGGCTTTAGTTCCTGCGCCAGCTTCACTTTTAGTGCAGGATTTTCATGTGGATATATGCATCTGTTTTAGTATAGTTGATACAGTAGGAACCAATTAACATCAGATTGGTTCATCATTTCTCTCTGAAAAACTAGGCATTTTTAACACGTTCTGCTATTTTCAAAGCTTCTATTTTGTGCTGCCAAAGGAGAACACCTCATTTGATAGCTGCACAAAGAGACTAAATCCATTCCTGGTTAAGAGCTGAGCTATTCTATGATGTACTGAACACTTTCAACTCCTGTCAGTTACAGAGGGGCTTATCATTAGTGACTTTCAGAATTAGGCCTTTACATTTGA